CTTGCTCCTAGTAGCGATGCCAGGAGCCCCTGCTGGTAGCGTTCTTGCTCCTAGTAGCGATGCTTTTTGTTACTAGTAGCGAGGTGCTGACCACCTCGGGTGGGAAGATCACCAACCTCCGGCGGGTGACCTTCTTGGTCCTTGACGAGGCGAGGGGGACCGGGCCCCGGGCGTGGTATCCGAAGCGGAAGTCAGAGAAAGGGTGGTTTTCTTTCCCAAACCGGGCCATTGGTCAAGGTCTGTCAAGATGAAATACACCTTGGAGGTTTTGGATTGATTCTAGACCATAGCGGGAACTACAACCAACCATGGCGCGGAAGCAATTCGGTGGCATGGCATTCAGTCGTTTTCTTCGACAGGTCCAAGGGCAGAAGGCTGGATCTTTATGGTATGTGTTCCTATTCCATCCTTGCTCCTAGTAGCGTCCTTGCTCCTAGTAACTGCCCTAGTAGTAGGGCCAGGAGCCCCTAGTAGTTTCTTGTTCCTAGTAGCGACGCCAGGAGCCCCTAGTAGCGTCCTTGCTCCTTGTGAAACTGAAGATTAACAAGTTGGTCCTACCAGACTGGACCGAGCACCCAAGTGACCCCAGGAATCCCCAGCAACCAAAAAGCCACACATCCATTTCAGTGCGAAGCATTGTGAAAGATTCACCTTCCATGCCACTTGTAATGGCCTCCAAACTTCCCAACTCTTGAAATTAGGTGAAAAAGAAGGCAATATTTACTGAAAGTTACTAATTATAGCAATGGCCTCCAACCTACGAGCGATGGCCTCCAACCTAATAGCGATGGCCCTAACTTGTAGTTGTGTCTCAACAGTTGGGAGTGTGAGGTGAGAAATGGCTGCAAGTTAGTCGCATTAGACCCACAACACCGCGGCACGACAGTGCTCTGCTGAGGCGGATCGGATGTTTGACATGGGCTTCGAGCCGCAGATCGGGATGTTCTTGCAGAGCACCCGACCGGACAAACAGGCGATGGCAATTGGGGAGGGCCGAAGGCGGGGACAAACTTTTTTCAACGCAAACGGAAGAGGTGAACAAGTACTCTAGCCAATTTGGACCAAGAGTAGTCTAGACTCAATCGGGATTTCAATAGGCTTTCTATGGTTGTCGGTTGTCAATCATTGCAGGGGCCTCGAATCATTCTTCTCCGTGAATATGGGAAAAGTTTTCAATTGCAGAAGTTTGCACATAGCTCCCCTCCGGTTATGCTGTCGCAAGAGAGTTGCTAGGATCAATCATAGGGGCACGTGGGAGGCCAGGCAGTAACACAATTTGCAAGAGCCAGCAGACACTGACTATTTGGCAGCTACTAGGAACAAGTGCATCGCTTCTAGTAACAAGTGCCTTACTAGTAGTAACAAGGACGCTTCTAGGAACAAGTGCTCATCACTCACTCACTCGCTCACTCACTCACTCACTCGCTCCACAGGGCAGCCGTCCACGTCCACACTCAGCTACGCCTTAGTGTACAACCTGGCAAAGACACTAAAGCAGCACAAAATGAAAATATGTGTAGGTGGCTGCTGTGAGAAGCAGGAAGCCTGCTTCACTAACATCACCGCACTCCATGCACGATCATGTGCATAGTGGAGTTGCACGAACAGGCGAGCAAACGGCACACAGCGAGCATTGCTCAGTGCTGGTGCCTAGCAAGCCCCGCACACACTACCTGTCACTGTCTCTCAGTTGTTCTTCACACCAAGCTTCTGCATCAAATCAATGGCTTGTCTCTCAAGCGACCCACGCGGTGCTTGGCCAAAAAGCTGCACTCCTCCATCTTTCACAAGCGCTGCGACCAAGGCCTCTTCTAGAGGCTTGTATTCATCTGCCAGCCGCAAGAAAAGCTTCTTGTGCGTAGAGACGTGCATGTTCTGCACTCTGCACACCTTCACTGCTTGCGCTAGCTTTGGATCCTTTGGCGGATGTTCTGTCAGGAAATCATCAACCAGCTGCTGGAGCTGAGCATCAGCAGACACTGACTATTTGGGTACTCATCATCAACAAACCTTTTGGGACAGCGCTGAATCAGGTTCTCTCAGATGTTGCTCACGTTTGCTTTGCGGATGTGGGCTTTAGGGGTCACCTTAGATATTTATCCATCCCCGGCCCCCAATCACAAAACTCTTGCGCATATTCCCTTGTAATATTTTATGCCACAAGACAGTGCCAATTGTGCATTTGGCCATCCATTTGGGGCCAGAAACTTTGATCCTTTTGTGGCTGCAGGAGACCCCGGGCAGGACGGGGCCAGAAACTTTGACCATAAGGTTTGTTTCTGCAACAGCCAAGGTCTGGTCTCTTTGGTTTTAGTAGGGGGGATAGGGTGGAGGCCATTGCTATTAGGGTGGAGGCCATCGCTTGTGTCTCTTTGGTTCCTTTTCCATCAGAGCGAGGTGGCGATGTTCAGTGCCACGCTGCCGGCCCATGTGGAAGCATTAGCCCGCAAGGCGTCGGGGCGAAGAGTTTGGTCGAAAGAGAAAAGAACTGTGCAAACCGAGCGCGGCATGTTTCACCAAAGCAAGTAAAGTGGTTTCACAGATGGTACGTCATCCCCAAGAGGACGTTTATATAAACCACCTGGATTGGGGAGTGCAACGAGTGCAACATCTACTCTCTTTCCGTCCTGTACATTTGCTTGCGGCTCAGAGGGACAGCCCTAGCACAGCATCAGTCTCGAACCAAGAAATGCTTGTAGCTAGTCGACAACAAGAACGAACGAAGCATTAGCTGTGCTTTGTCACAATTTTCTAGGTTGGAGGCCATCGCTACTAGAAACGAAGAAAGAAGAGGAAGAAAGGTCTAAAACGAAAAACGCTTTGGCTTTGATCCCGCGTCACTAGAAGCACCACACCGGACACCATTCTTCGAGCAGGTCTTGAAGAAGCCGTTGGAGATCTCCGTTGGGGCCCAGGGAACGTTGGTGGACTGAAACGCTGAGACATTGAGTTCAGTGGCGTCCTTGCTCCTAGTAGCGATGCCAGGAGTCCCTAGTAGCGTCTGTGCAACTACATTGACTTAAGTTGCGTTATTAGCTTTTGTTGTTTGGCGATAGTTAGACTTATGTGCTATGGTGTTCGCTGTTTTTCTCGCGTGTTTGTTTTGCTTCATAGTTCTTCTCTTTGGGGTCTGCGTTGCAACATCCTCTTGCAAGATGCACGTCTTGCAAGATGGACTTGTTTGAGTGTTCAGTTCACTGACATCCACGTATCCCTGTCTCTCCACTCGGAAAAGAATGAGCCACCCCAGGGTGCCCTGCGTGTTTGAGGCAAACGTACAAGCGTGGCACCTGTTACTACTAGCTTCTTGTTACTACTAGTAAGGCACCTGTTACTACTAGCGTGGCACCTGTTACTACTAGCGATGGGGCCCTCAGGAAAGAGTTGGCACCAAGTGAGATGCGATAGGGCCCACAGTTCCGTTTGTGGGTGGATTTCAGCTGGTGCTCCAGTGTTGTTCGTTGCAAACATCCGAAAAGGAGAGGATCGCACCGCAGGTTTCTCCTTGGACTGCATTCCGTTGGACCACAGTTTCATCGTTGGGTTTGACACCTGCGTGCGCAGGTGGGCGAGCGCAACGCAGTGGCCACGAACGTCACTCAGTTCGTAGAGGTGCCGGAAGTTCACTCGTTTCGAACTCGTTTCGTCCAGATCATTTGATGGCCTCCAAACTCATGAGATTAAATCTAAAAAGAAAACAATCTTCTTTGGGGTTACAAACAGCAATGGCCTCCAACCTAAGAGCGATGGCCTCTAACCTAATTGCGATGGCCTTCGACCTAGTAGCGATGGCCTCCAATTTTGTTTGTGTATCACTCAATGTATGATTCCTTTGACCTACACCCAGGGCCATTTGGATAGGAGTCTTTCACACCATGCTTGTAACTGGTCTTTATTTGACCAAGAACTCACACATACCACCATCGCTGGTGCACATCAAGCCTTCGCGCTTTCAACCCATGTAGAGCAAACTGGAAAATGCTCATGTCGCAAATCCAGGGATCCCAGGTCGCGCCACTGCGCTTTGACTCTCTTACCAGTTGCCCAAATCGAAAAGAAACACGAGAGGAACTCGTTCGATGGTCCCAGCGTTCAAGGGTGCTTGGTCAAGGCCCATCCATGCCCCTAAGACTTCGTGTATTCCAACGTGTTGTATTCCCATGTTTGTACCTAAAAGGCAGCTGTTCAGAAAATAGCCCAGGAAATCCGGGCGGGTTCACAGCAGGTCTTGGATGAGAGCCAGAAGTTCTATCGGCTTTTGCAACTCCTTGGAGAATGGCATGAGCATGGTGCCTTGGCATGCCTTGGCCAAAGAAACACCGTACACCCCTTTCTGGTCGCGGCTTCAAACTGCCAGGTGTCGGAGTTGAATGCGGGATGCTTGTCGCCTTGTTTTGGATTGTCTCCAAATCCTGTTGATTTATTGTGAGAAGCACCATTCCACTTGAGATTTGCTAAAGCTGAACCAGCTGAACCCCCGGCGTGAAAGGTAGGCCTGGGATGGCCTGTGAGTTGATTTGGTTCCTAATAGCTTCTTGTTCCTAGTAGTAAGGCCAGGAGCCCCTAGTAGCGTCCTTTCTCCTAGTAGTACTGCCAGGAGCCCCTAGTAGCTTCTTGCTCCTAGTAGCGATGCCAGGAGCCCCTAGTAGCGTCCTTGCTACTATATATATATATATACATTAATTACTCTCCCATTGCTGACATGGAATTGGACAGTCGGGGGATGGCCTAGCCCAAACTGCAAAGGAAGCCTACGGGGATATCACGTGTTCGCCCATGAATGTTCTAGATGTATCTCTTTCGGAATCCTGCGAAAATACTCCTGCTCACCTTTGAATAAACCGAGAATTGTTCTTCGCATCATCCTTCGATGCGATCGACCGCCCAGCTTGGAGGTTCAGCTCCCCACTCCAGAAACAATTTTCTTCACGCCAAGCGTGAGCACCCCACCTGACCGACCTGACCCTGGCGCCAAAGTCTGGCCTGGTACACTCCCAAAATTGCGAACCGCCATTGAAACTACAGCTAGGAGGCCAATCAGGTCGGTGTTTGATATTCCTGAGCTAGTGTTGTTTCAGACGGTATGTATGAATTTGTATGGAATATGCATCGTTTTTACTGCCTTTTAAAGATTTGACCAGGCTTTCAAGTGCTGAGCAAACAATACGTTCAAGTGGTAGCAGGCCACTCAAGCAAATCCATCAAGAACCACAAAATGCACAAAATGGTTCTGGCTCACAAAACAAAAACCGTGTCCAAAAAATGCCGAGGTTGTTCACTGTTTGATCTGGTTGGGGGTCAAAGGTCCCTCTTATTGCACAAAGACAATGCTAAGAGGTTCACAAGTTAAAGTGTACAATGTATCATAGGTAAACAACGACATGACAGGCACTCTTTTTGGGAGTCTCTGCTTGTCTTGTTTGGTGTGAGCACGCTTCTTGTTCCGCAATGGTCCTTGCTTGCAGACCTCCCTTTAGTGCATCAAACAAAGGGAAAATGTTCCACACTTTGCCAAGCAGCCTGCAGACTTTGGCCTTCGGCTACGACTTGAACCAGAGCTTAGAAGGTGTCACCTGGTCCAGCAGCCTGCAGACTTTGAGGTTTGATGCTGAGTTCAACCAGAGCTTGCAAAGCGTCACCTTGCCAAGCAACCTGCAGACTTTGACCTTTCCTTTATTCGACCGGAGCATTGGCACTGTCACCTTGCCAAGCAGCCTGGAGACTTTGGCCTTTGGATTTGGCTTCGACCCCAGCTACTTGTACGGCACACTTCCAAGCAGCTTGCATGAGTGTTGCTTTTGAGAGTTGCATGTCTGCACTTACATGCCAGATTGCACATGATATACCCACAGGACGCTCTTATCCATGACAAGTAGGAGGGTTTCAATGTGTCAAGACTGGAACAGGTGATGATCTGGTGTGACTGGCAATGTGCACCCCAACCCGGAAGGACGATCATTCCCGATGGACGATCGATGCTTCAAGAGTTCTCCAAAGAGCTCTAAGTCGTTCGCCGACTTGCCAAGCGTTCGCATGTGGTCCTGTTCAGTGTGACGTTTGAAAACGTGAAGCATTGAGTCTCAACTCGTCCCCAAAGAGACCAGCGGACAGTGTTCACCGCCCACACAGGCGCGGCAAATCACTGCTCGACGCTGGTCTATCCCAACCTAGAAGCGAATGGTTCGGAATACTGGTGATTGTCATCAATGTCCTTTCGGTGTACTGTACACCACCGTTTGCCACCACTATCTTAAGTCGTGTAAGTCGTTTGCACTGGAATTGTCAGATTAGTTTTCCGAACGCTGAGGTGCCATCATCATTTTCGTGCACCAGCAGAAGGACCGCAAGCTGGGCCAAGCTAGGTTGAACATGGCCCACTAGATCACTTCATGCAACGAGAAGTCTCCCAAGCTCAGCTCAGATCACTGGCTTTCGAGATCAGCTCGTCGCATTCATGTCTCTCCCATTCCCACAGGACGTGGATGAGATGTTCACAGAGCTTTTGAAGTATGGCTACCCTCCACTGGCACTCCATGGCGGTCAGGACAGCGTGTTTGGGCGACCCCTTTCGGATGTTCAATGATGACATGAGCCTGCTCAATGAGTCTGATTGGTCCAGGAACAATGGTCCAACCGATTTCTTCGCCTGTTTGTCGCAGTTTCATGGTTCTTTGAGAGAAATATGCCAAGAGCACAACTTTGGTAAACCCATCAGTTTGAGCAGTGTCGAGGATCTCGGCATTTAAAGGGAGTGATTCTTGCACGTGCTAAAGGTTGCAAGCATTGAATCCAATTACAACCCACAAGTCACATCTGGTTGTTTGCTTGCGATGAATTACGTGTCTTGTGCGCGGAATTTGTAGATGACCTTAAGACACGCTTTTAGACCCCACACCTCGCCTGGCAAACCTACAAGTTATATGTTGAAACAAGAAGCTACTAGTAACAAGTGCATCGCTTCTGGTAACAAGTGCCTCACTAGTAGTAACAAGAAGCTACTAGGAACAAGTGCCACGCT